TGCACATTGTTTGAGAAGCACCCAAACCATGTGCCACAAATAGAGGCCAAATCCTTGGGAGTTTGGCTTACAGCGCATAGTTGGTTCTTTCCATTGCCTTATTAAGTTTTTTGGATACGTATTATAATGTGTTTTTTAGCATGTGCCCTCATACATGCACATTTGTTTTTACTAGTAAATATGGGATCATACTAGCAAACAGCTATTAGGTACATTATAGGACATATATGAGAACAGAAATTTCAAACTGAGCTGAAGGTACAATAAATATTTTAAAATGAGTTGCTAAGCATGGTGACATGCGATCATTGGCTGATATCGCAAAGGTTGAGGATGAAGCACATCATTAATAAACAGTCTATATTTTGAATATTTCTCGTGAGAGTTGTGATTCTTTTTGGCTGACTTTGCTTTGATCTGAATAGCCAATCATTGTTTTTAACCTTATGACAAGCTAGTGGTTGAAGAGAAGGTGAGAGTCAACTCTATTGTGCTCTGGTGCTTGCTCTATCAGTGTTGTCTCCAGGCTGCGGTTTTCCTGTGGGGGATATTTATTTTATTTATTTTATTTATTTTATTTATTTTATTTTATTTATTTTATTTTATTTTATTTTTATTTTATTTTATTTATTTATTTATTTTATTTATTTTATTTTTATTTTTATTTTTTTTTATTTATTTATTTATTTTATTTATTTTATTTTTTTATTTATTTATTTATTTATTTTGTGGGGGATATTTTTAAGCCACGTGCCTGCTGAGTGATGCTTAGCCTACTTAAAAGGAGAAACTTTATCTTCATAGCCCCTTTCAGGGTGCACCTGGCTGTAGTACAGGTGATGCACCCCAGTGATGGTGCCAACTGCCAGTCACCCTCCTTGGTCTGAGTTTCCTGATTCTCACTGTCAGGCGTGGGCATTTCAAGTGAAGACCCCAGCATCCCTACACACACACACACACACACACACACACTCTCACTCTCACTCTCACTCTCATCTCTACATTGATTTCTTACTTTAATGACTAAAGATCACACGTGGAAGCTCTTGGATTTCCTTTCTTGATCCCGAATCATTTTATGAGGTCCCTGGAGGGAATGGATCATACCTGTAGGCTGCTTTTTGGGTTTTGTTTTAAAGATTTTATCCATCTATTGAGAGAGGCAGAGACATAGGCAGAGGGAGAAGCAGGGTCCACACAGGGAGCCTGATGCGGGACTGGATCCCCAGACTCCAGGATCATGACCTGAGCCGAAGGCAGATGCTCAACCACTGAGCCTCCCAGGTGTCCTTATGGAGGTTTTTAAAAGAACCCTCATTTCCACTGCATACTTGGGGAGGGGCTGCTTTGGGGGAAAAGCAGCATTGGCTTCTGGGCAGGACTTTTAAGAACTTTAGCACTCAGGAGAAGCCCAAGGGGTCTGCAGAAGGCAGTGTTGACCATGTTTCTGGTAGCTGTCCTGGTAACTTTGCTAACCTCTTAAAAGCCTGAATATTTTGAAATTCTGGGGGGACTCCTTGGAGAAACTGGTGAAAGCTATGGCTTCTTGCTCAAGAAAAATGTACAAACAAAATTTCTATTCAAATCCAGATCCTCTGAAGCTCAAGATGAGGAACCTGTTTAGAAGTTAAAAAAAGGCAAATTAGGTTTTAGAGGGCATCTGCCTTTCCCCCCAAATGCTCCTTTCCTGTTGTCCTATTGAGTTTCAAACTCTGCTTACATCACAGAGCTGGGAAGGAGGCTGAACTCTGATTTCAGAGATACTCAGGTTTGTATCTTGGTCCCTGCACTGATAAGCACTTAACTTGAGCATTTTCTTCCCCGCATAAAATGGGTAGGCTAATCCTCACCTTGAATGCTCCCTTCCTGATTGGCCATCTTTCATCTTCATTGGCCTTTTTTCTTGTACCTCAAATATTCTTATTCTTTCCTGCCTCAGGGCCTTTGCACTCACTGCTCCCTCTGCCAGGAAGTTTCTTTCCATCATATTTATGTGACCAACTCCTCACTGTTCAGGGCTCAATTCAAGTGTCATCTCAGGAAAACTTTTCCCGACCACCTTATTTTTGTCTCTCTCTGTGTCTATTTAGAGTTTTAAAAAAGTGTACAATTCAGTTATTTTTTGGCATATTCATGAAGTTGAGCAACTATCACCACTATCTGATTCCAGAACCTTTTCATTATTGAAAGTCCATATACGTTCAACAGCCACTCTCTAGTCATCCCTCTCTCCAGCCCCTGGCCACCACTCATCTACTTTCTATGGATTTGCCTATTCTGAACATTTCATATAAATAGAATCATATGCTCCATGGCCTTTCGGGCCTGGCTTCTTTATGGGAGTGTTAGCATTCCAGGTTCCATTCATTTTGTAGCACGTGTCAGTACTTGATGGCTTTTCATGGCTGAATCATATACTCCATCCCATAACATATATTTTGTTTATCCATTAGTTCATGTGGGTGGTTTCCCACATTTTGGCTGTTGGGAATAATGCCATTATGCACTGGTGTCTCTTGATCATGTTCCTTTTATGTATTTAATTTTCACAACCCTAGTTTATTTTTTTAATATACATATGTCTTATCCTGTCCCCTAGAATATAAGCTCCAGGAAGGCAGTGACCTTTTCCGTCTTGCATCTTGCTATATTCCCAGAGCCTTGAATAGTGTCTGGCACAGAGTAGGCAATAAAGATTTGTTCAGTGAACGAACGAATGAATGAATGGGAGCAGTTGCTATTCTCTTGTCTATTGGAGGACTCAATCTTTTCCTGTAATTCACATGCGACCCTTGCTGTGTTCCCTGTATCTCACATCTGACACTTCTCACCAGCTGTGGTTCTTGGGCCATCGTCTCATTGCCCAGTGAGCAACCACTTCCCGAAGCTTGGGCCCTCTGTGACCTGAACAAAGTCCCAGATTTGAATGTGTATCAGAAAAATCAGGTGGCTGCATCCTGCCCCTGGAGTTTCTGAGTCAGTAGGTCTGAGTGAATCTGAAATTTGTATTTTAACACGTTTTCAGGGGATGCTATTGCCACTGGTTGGCGGACTGCTATTTGAGAGTTGGTGCTACAGGGGGGTAAATTTCAGCAAGCAAGCCGGGCCTCTTATAGTCATTGGTGGTATGTGGGGGCCTCACTCAAATGCTCACCTTGCTTCTCTGTCTCCTTTGATGTGGACTCAGAGGGTTCTGGTTTGTTCAGAGCACCTGGATGTATCTAAACCTGTGGCAGTATGCTGGAGAAGCTCTCCCTGGTCCAAGAGGAGGAGTGGACCAGGATGCTTATTGCAGTGTTGTGCACAGAGGCAGGGAGGTGTGCTGATCATCTAGGTGCCCATAATCAGGGAAATGGATAAGCAGGGCTGATATCCTGCAGCTTCTCACCATGAAACTGCTGGATGGAGGAGATTCACAGTTAGCGGTAGGGCTAGCTCTCGTGTTGTGCAAAGAGAAAGAAACAGATTGAGGTTTACAGTAAAGACGCCCCTCAGGTCAAAGATACACACCTGTGCAATTATAGCTACAATAGTATATACTGTTCAAGGATAATCCTATCTAAACAGAGACGTGATGGAGCGTAGGTGAAAAGTAAATGTGCTGGTGAGGTCTGACCTTAGGTGTGATACCTGGTTGACAGCTATCTCCATTCTGATCAGTGTGCAAACATTGAGCTGCTTGACTCAGTTTTACATCTAATTGTGAAGGTCACTGTTCTGGTTGAATTGTCTATCACATCTCTGCCCCCACCACTACCCATTTAAAAAAAATATTTTTTAGAGTCGTAACCTTGTAGTCTTTGGAATGTGACTTTGTCTAGAAATCGGATTGTTGCAGATGTAATGATTTAAGATGAGGTGTCCTAGAGTAGGGTAGGCCCCCTAACCCGGTATGACTGCTGTCCTTAAGAGCAGAGTTTCACAGGAAGACAGTGACTCCAGGAGACACACCAGGTGGTGATGAACGAGATTTCCAGCAACCTGCAGAAGCCAGGAAGAGGCAAGGGAGGAGTCGCTGTAGGTCCCCAAAGGGGTGTAGCCCTGCCGACAACTTAATTTGGGATTTCTGGCCTCTAGAACTGTGAGACCATAATTTCTGTGGTTTGAACCCACCTGGTTTGTGGTGCTTTGTTACAGCAGTCTGGGAACTAATACAGTCACTTAACACGTCTCCACTTGCTCTCTTATCTGTCGAATAATACTAAGAAGATGATCAATCTTTGGTTGAGCGTCAAGGAGATTAAACATGATGATAAATGGGAAGAGCCCAAAACACAGTTGGTGACTCAGATAGAGCTTTCCCTCCATCTCAGCTACTGATTAAGAGGGGTACTTGCTTACAACATGGGGTGTGGATGGCTCACACCAAATCCTCCCTAGCTGTAGGAAACCCCATGCACACAGTATACAGAGTTATGAATACAGACTCTGGTTCAAAGCCCTATACAAGTGGTTGTGTGACCTTCAGCAGGTTAATTCACCTCTCTGAGCCTTTGCTCATCCACAAAGAAGGAGTAATAAACCTCATAAGGTGCTCATATGCTACTTAGTTGAATTAAGGCACATAACGTGATTAGCAAGGTTGGCGGGCTTATGGTAAGTACTCTATAAATGTTATTTGTTGCTAATAGTGGGTCATTGCTGTACATGACTTGTGGTATCTAGCATTAGCTATGAAGGGGGACTAAGTGTCTGTGGGTTGCAGACACTTTACATATATTCTTCATTTAATCCTGTCAACAACTCTGCGAGGTGGGTGATCCCACTCATACGCAGGTATTGTAAGGAGCATGTGGACTGTTTTGCATGAAGTCCTTATGTAACCTCTAATTGCAGTGATCTTTTTTACTTCCTTATGTCTTTTTCTCCCTCCCACCCCTAGCTAGAATGGCATCTCCATGGAGTAAGGGGCCTCATCTTCATAAACACAGTGCTCAGAGCACAGCAGGTGCCAATCATTGTGTTTGGAATGAACAGATTTAAATTCTTTCTTCTTTCAGGGCCCTTGCAGATGTCATGAGGCCACAGGGCCACTGCAACACTGACCACATGGAGAGGGACCTCAACATTGTGGTTCATGTCCAGCATTATGAAAACATGGATACCAGAACCCCCATAAATAATCTTCGTAAGTATAGTCGTGCGATCCATTTCCAGCCCCTCTTGGTGACCCGTGCGGTGGTCATGTGTCTAGATTTCATGGTCTGTTTGGGTTCATTAAGACTTTTCTGTTTGTTGACTAGTTAAAAGTTTTAGTTCATCTCTCTGGGATGAAGCTGTGTTTGGCATCATCAGCTTTCACTTGGTTTGTTTCTCTGTTAAAGAGTGATCCCCTTGGTTGGTTTCTTATGGTGGGTTCTTCTGTTAACTAATGGCCCTCTTGGATGGTTCATCTTGGTGGTTCACCCACCTTGTTAACCACTGGGCTACTTGGTTGATTCGTCTTAGATAGTTAATCTGTTATCCAATAACCTATTGTATTGATTCATCTTGATTGGGAAATTGGTTAACCAATGGTCCATTTGCTTATTTGTCTCCTTCTTGAGGTAGACCAGTTGTGACCATTAGGTTCCCTGCTGTTTTCAATGAACAGATAGTAGTTCAGAAGAAATCGATCTCTTTTTCATAGAGTTTTGCAAAAATAAATCACAAACTACTCTATGTGTATGTGTATGCACGTGCGCATGCACATGTGTGTTTGTGTGTGGGGTCTTCCATTGTGGTTCTGTTGGTTTGGGGTGTGTATATGTGATTCAACAGTAGCAAATTCTCTCCATTTTTCTGCCAGGAAGGAAAAAAATGCTACATTTGCTATTGTATTTCAATAGGTATTCTTTAGTGGACAGAGCATACTTGGGGATCTTGGTATATTCCCTTAATTTTTCTTTTCTTTCAAAGGTCTTTATATACAATATACCTTATGGAGCTGATGCACTGGCTAATGGGAAGGGGGGAAGCAAGATTGTTTAGTTTTTTGACAATAGTGTGCTACCGTGTTTATTCCTAGCAATTATGTTTTCAAGTTAACCCCCCATTAAAGTAATGCGGAGGGCTTAGTTTAAAACAACAAAAGCCAGACAATTTAAAAGATGCATTTAGTTGTGGCTGGAGGTTCTTAAAAACATTGCACATTTTATAGTCTGGGTTGCCTTTGCTGAAGCTCCACGAGGAGAGTTGCACTGGTGTTCTATTTGCTGAATCATCATTTTGAACTGTTTGGCTACAAATTTTTATGCTGGATGAGTAGAGGAATAAATCTGTGGTATTTGACATAGGTAATGCAAATTATCTGATCATGCATGGTGATGATTTTTCATAGCCTTGGAAAAAATGTGGCAGTATATTTGTAAAGTCAATGTTTACACAGTTTGAAAATGGGCTACCAAACAGAATGTCTTAGGTGTCATTGTATTAAATAATTCAGCCATATTTATTTATGTGCCAGGTCGTAGAGTGGCATGAGAAATAGCCACATTTTAGAGCAAAATACATCAGCAATTGGAAGTTTTATGACCAAATCTCACAGCCCTGAAAGATACGGTAAATTGCACCAACTTTGACATGGCAATTTCTGAGCCCAGTTCTGGCTTTCATGGAAATGAGCACATTCTCTTTCAGATGTCACTGGGAAATAAGTTGAACCTAGATGTATGTGGGTTCCCGCCATTGCATGTGAGTGAATATGATCATGGAGGAGACAAAGTTGAAATGATGTTGAGTCCCTGGCTCTACAAGGTGATTGTTAACAAGTTTCTGGTGAAGTTTCCATCTTTAGGATGATGTTTGAATCAGCACTCACGTGGAATAACAAACTCTTTGAAGTCACCCATGTTTCATCATTGCATCAGGCAAAAGGGCAAGGAACATTAATGAATCTTGTTTCAATAAGGGACTTTTGTTTAAAGTTGTACTGAAAACAAATTACTGCTCAGAGATGGGTGTCCAGGCACTAATTCAGAAGGCTCCTGTGAGGGACTAACTGGGTTTATTTATGATTCTTGCTTTTAGTTTGTATCTGAATCTCTCAGTAATCATTATACTAATTAAAAAATGTGTCTTGTAATATTCTACTGGGAAGAAGTAGAACGGAGCATTCCTGGTAGACTACAGGAGAGAATTCCAGGTGCATGCAAACATTGCATTCTTGCATGAATATGATGTTAATTTTATATATTGCTGCTGGGTTGATCTAGTCCATATCTCCTAGAATTCTTCATAACATCTGGAAAATAAAAAGCATACAGCTCTTCTACATATTTGTATTAATTGGTTCAATTTCTGTAACTTGTTCAGTACCTGGTAGTCATGATAGGCTTCCTTGTAATGATTTTGTCTTTTCTTATTGATTCACAGGAGCTATTTATATATTATAGACACAGGGAAAATCTACATATTCAAGAGAAGGAATGTTTTGGGAGTTTACTGAGAGGATAGGCCTTGATAATTGGTATTTATCAGTTATCAGGGGTTCAAGAAGCCATGCAGGTGCCCATTTTGACCCATAGAGAACTAGGAGAGAAGGAATCCAGTCCAACTGAGAAGTTAGATCACCTCTTGGTGCCAGAATTAGAACGCACCTATTGAATATAAAACCTTTTTCCTGAACATTCTAGGTGCTATGAAGATTTACAATAAGAAAAAAAATGGAAAGAATGACGTATCCATTTGTGATATACCCATCATGCCATTGTTGGGGCATTCTTCACTAAACATTCAAGTGACCAGATTTGACCAGGAATTCAATACCTAGAACTTGAATGTCATTTCTTTTGTCTCTATTCAGTAACCCACTCGACATAGTTTTAGGAGGATATTCCTCTCCATCTGTTTCTCTTTCTTCATCTTACTACTCGTGCTAGAGCCCTTTCTGGTTTTCCATTATACTTTGGTTAAATGCTAAAAGAATAAAAAGTCATTTAGAAGGAAGGGAGTGGGGAAGGACTAGGGTAAAGGCAAATGGAGGCGACAGAAAGCTTCAGTGTGGGGGAAATTTTTGCCAGTTTTCCTTTATAAATTTCCTAGGGTTGATTTTTTCCTGTGATATGCAAGACTTGCCTTTTTATCTGAAGACGGATTTTTCTTCAGCTGGAGCTGTTCATGTTCTTTCCAGGCATTCAGTGATATTGCCTAAAAATATTTAGTCTGATAATCAAAAGGGCCTCGACCTCTTTGATGAACAGGATGTAGATTCAGATGAGATAGTGATTTTTCGCAAATGCTCCTCGGCTTCTGTGTAATTATAGTTTGCTTTTGAAGGCACATTTTGTCCTCAAGTGCTATGAACGTGCTTCTGTCTCCCCCACCCAAGCCTCGCAGCCTGCCAGTGACACTCCCCATCCTTTCTGGGAGTGCAGGGTAAATATAGGCTCCCTTTCGTCTTAAGGATGGGAGATGGGAGTGAGTGCCGTAGATACAAGGAGAGAGCCCGGATCAACGTCTCTCAACTTGTCTGTGTTAACAGCAGGTTTTTTTTTTTTAATACAGTTTTAGTTTGGGAATAATTTTGTATTTACTGAGAGGTTGCAAAGATAACACCCAGAGTTCCGTATACTCTTCACCCACTTTTCCTGAATGTGAACATCATACACTGATGTGGTTCACCTGTCACAACTAAGAAATCAACATTAGTACATTATTTTTAGCTAAACTGTTGATAATGTTTGGATTTCACTATGTTTCTTCACTCGGTCCCTTTTCTGTTCCAGGATGCACTCCAGGATGCTACATTGTATTTAGTACTGCAAACTTGATAGTAGAATTTTGGTTGGCAGTATTGTTTAATGATGTGGTAAAGACTGAAAACAATCCTAAATAAGTCAGTAGCAATTACAAGGCCTTTATTGCCATGGTATAAAAAGTGTCTCCCAGTGGCTATAAAAACAGCCACATAAAGTTATTCACCTGGTCACTGTTGGAATAGAACCCATTGTTATACTGACTGCACTCTCACATAGACTCCTGGGACAGAGTACCCTCCTGTTCCACGCAAATATGCAACCCCTCTTTGGAATTGGGTTGACGTTACTCTATTTATTTAGCAGCATAATCTGAGCAGGTGGGATCTCACCCCGAACTGAGGAGAAGTACTGACTTGATGTTTCAGGACACTGAATCCATCAGAAAGACCAGGCTCCCATTCCAGCCTCAGCCCACTCCCTACTGCCCCAGGACCATTCCCAAGTGGGCTTACAAGGAACCAGATGAAAGATGCCGTGCTGCTCTTGTCTAGGGCCAAATGGATTTTCATTCATTTATCCATATTTACCAAGGCACCTGGATGTCATATACTTGATTTTTGGAGGCACTGGGAGGGATATTCCCAAATATCTTTTCAAAATTGGGGGAACTTCCTAATCAGGGCAGGTACATAGGAATAAAACCTATGTAAGGTAGTTAAATATTAACAGTTACTTATATAGACAGCATTCTAAACCCCAAACACATTGAATCTTCAAAACCTTATTAGGTTGGTACTGTTATTTTCACCTCATAAAGGTGGGGAAACTGAGTCTCAGGTTAAATGGCTTTTCCAAAGCTCATACAGCTATTCAATGGTGGCACTGGGGATTTAAACAGGGCTGGTCAGACCCCAAGGTCTGTGTTTTAATCACTACACTGTAAGACCTCTCCTTCTGGTACAGGTGTTTGCAGAATGGGGAAGTCTTCCCCCGCTAGGAGTTGAAGTTGATAAAGGATATGCTAGGTGAACCCAAAGATCGATTGGAACTGTAGGAAAGAGAGCTCTTTCCAAAACACACTCCATCATACGTCTTGTGGAGTCCTTTCTTAGGAGGCATAATAACTAAAGTTTTATTGAGCACTTGCTATGTGCCATGTATTGTGTTAAAGCTTTGGATGCCTCAGCTCATTTCACACTGGAAACAACCTTCAAACAGCCCAGCTCAAATCCCTGCCTCAGGATCTTTGTACTTGCTGTGCTTCCTGCCTACAGAACCCTGCTCACAGGCCTCTACCCTTTGACATCTTACCTCCAAAGTCACCGCATGGGAGATGACTTCCTAGTCTTCCTCTTGTTCCCAAGTCACCTACTGTTCTCCATTTCTCCCATTATTTTCTTCATAACTTCTGTTCCCTCTGATATTATCTTCCTCATTATTTATGTCTACA